TATGTTCTGCTTAGTGTTGGTTTATCAGATTAATTGAGCCAAAAACAATAAAGAGTTTGTGGTTGTGGAGAGATCAAATGTCGAAAAATTCAACCAGTACTTTATTTAAAGTACCTTTACAGGGTACTGTATGAGTCCAAGCCATATGAGTTTCCAGTCAAACTGAATGGGCAGCAAAAGTTGGCAAAATGACAGAACATTGACGAGGCAATCAGTCACAAGTGAGCAGCTTCTATGTTTCAAATTACGCCTTATAGGTTATATTGAAGAAAAAAAGGTCATTTTATTTCAGCTTCTGAATTCTTTCTTTTTTCTCAATTGCATATACACAACCTTTAGAAAACAATAATGATGTGATTCAAGCTGAAGTTAAGCAGTATGATATTACTGAGACCTTCCTTAAGCTGAAACCACTATTTACTGCATTCACAATAAGCAGTCTGCTTACTACAGCACAGAGTTGCAGTTTAGCCTTGTGCCCATCTCTGTAAGTATTTTATTTTGTGTTGCACCTCACATAAAAAGGGGCTTGTTTTTCACCTGGAATTACTGTTACACCCAGGCTGCACGCTTGGCAGGGCTTGCTGATTTTAGGGCAAATAGGGTCAGTGGGAAACCACCATCTTCTTACAATTGGCCTTCCTCATCCCGATTCAACAGAAGGATGTGACACAGAGGCTGTTCCTTGCACTGGGTGTTGCCCGGTGTACATGGAGCAGTGGCCTAGTTTGCAACCGGATCTAGGCATCACTCTTAATCCCCTAGATATATGACATAAGCACACACAAGCAGATAGCCTAGTTGAGAACTAAAAAAGAGGAAGTGGTACAAAGGTAGTAGAAATAAACAAGGAAATAAAGAAAAATAAGCAAAGCTGGGAACAGAGCTCTGGTTTCTTTTGTTATGGCATTATTTGTATCAGTATGCACCTAACTAGACCTTAAATCACACAGTCATTATTGTGCAAAATGTATTTCTGCAGCATGTGTTGTCCTTTCTTAAACTGCAGCTTCTGTTCTTGCATAACTTGTAATTAGAGTTAACCAATCAATCAGCCAGAGATTGGAATCGACCAATTTTCCCCCAACTGGCTCTAATCATTAAGCAGCAGCTCAAATACAGAAAGAAAAAAAAAAGAACCTCTTTTATACGGATTACTACAGCGAATGCTCCTGTTGTAGTGTTTCCTGCCATGTTATTTAGGATAACATAATAAAAAAGGTGTTAAGAACTAAACCAGAACTAAGTATGAAGCAATGATGAGGATTTTGTTAAATCTTGAGTAATGTAACATCTTTGAAGTATCTATGCTACTTCTGGTGAACTCTTCTTCCAAATAGTGCCTGTGCATCAGGATAAAGTGCTGAACACTAGTGATGTGCTGCAGAAAATGTCATAATATTTATTTAATCCTTGGCATAATTCAGATAACAAAACATCTGGGCATAAAATGTTTTTACATCACGGGTGCCCCCAGTTTGGGAATTTTTTATTCAACATTATAAGAAATGAAGTCAAGTCATCAGTGTCTCCCTCAGTTTTAAACATCCTATTAGCTGAGTTGAGTCTTAATGAAGAGTAAATAATTAAAGGTGCTGTACCTGATTCATGAGTAAGGAGACAGTTCAGTTTGAACGGTAAGCCCATCCCTAAACTTCTCTCCTTCAGACACTTTCCTCTGAATCCACATGCAGGTGATAAAGCACATATCTCGTAATAAAAGTGATGAAAGATACCCATCTAGGAGGACTACAGCCAGTTTCGAATACAGATTCAATCCAAGGCGGTTCCATAAAGCTCTCCACCTCTAGTAGGATAGACCAAGATTTAGAAAAGCTTTGTTCCTTCTTGGGTCATTCTTGTCGTTAAGTCTTTCTTCTCTTCCTCCATTTCGACCCTTTTAGGCTGTTTTGCTTTATATGAAGTGACAGCCAGTGAGATATCGCAACTTCCCCTTCATTGGCCGCAATGCTTCTCTGTTTAGAAGAGGTGCGCTTGGAGAAAACATTCTTAGAAGAGGTTTTTAGTGGCTGATTGGAAACTGGTAGAATTAACCCCAATGGCAGATAAAACTATCACCCTAAAGTTAGAAGACTACACCAAATATCCTAAATATGAGTCATGAACAAAATGACCTCTTCTGCCATACAATATACCACGTAAAAAGCATTTTTCCGAAGAGAGATTAAAATTAAATCAGATATATTACATTGTAAATACAGAGTTACAGAGTACTGTTTCAAATGTGGTTATGCCTATTTTGTTGTAATGGAGCACACTGTTAATTTTCAGTTTTAAAGGTATTAATTATCAGCTTATGTTATTCAATTCTTATAATGTATTTTCAGTATTTAAAATATGGCGCGAGTTGGTAATTTATTAAATGACACTATTTACCCATTCAAGATGCAGGTAGGTTGGTTTTGTTAGGTGGTAAATAAGATGTGTTTGGTATATAGCTACAACATTTTAACAACAAACCAACAAACTAACCAACACAATTTTACCTTCATTTTTTATTTTTGGTTTTATGTGATTTCATCCTTAACAAAAAAAAATAAAAATCACACAGTCATAATAATAATCTGCAATTTGAATTCCAAAGAAAACCATAAATTGGCATTGACAAGAAAAAGCCTGATTTAAATAACTTTACCTGTAACATTTTGAATTTGTTAATTTCATTGAGCTTTATTGTTACCATGACGATGAGGATAACTAAGAGCAATTTTATAATTGCAATTAACATTTCATAACATGCCATCTTAAGTAGAGAAACTAAAACATCAGCAGTCTGACAGCTTCTGTTCAATTCGCAATGTTTAAATCTCTGATTCCCCTGTCATGATATTAAAAGGGACATTGAATGCTGCACACATGGAGAGATAAAAGGAAAAGAGAGCAGTTTTCCTCCCCTTTCTCCCTCTAAAGCCCTGCGTCCTTTCTATCTTAGTAGATGACATTGATAGGAAGAGAAAAAGGCAGAAAGTTAGTAAGAAATAAAACAGCGAGGTCAAGGGTGGGATTGAAGAAACCGTAGAGAAAAAAAAAGATGGAGTATGAATCCTTTCCACCTTTCTGGATCTGAGATGCCCTCCTAGACCTCAGAGAGGAAGTCTGGAAAACGTTATCGTTTGACAAATGACCGGGCTTTTGCCGCCTGACCCTGGTACTTCCACGTAGGACAGGAGGTTGAAAGCAAAACAAGAAAGGTCGGAAAGTATGCTTTCACTAGGGCTTCGTGAGGCTTTAAAACATTCCAGCACAGAAATTGCTGCCTGAAGCCTATACTTGTGTGTCAGTTTGGGTGCTTTTAGAGGGTGGTGATGATATGTGATCAGCATTGCACAACCGCAAGCTTGGAGCCACGCTGCACTTTCCTTTGGGCAAACACATCATCCTGTACATGCTAGATATTCAATCAGCTCATTTTACGCTTACTGAAGGAGCTATTATGAATTCAAATTTTCCAAAACGTATGCTCTAAAGGGCTTAAACTGTCTGCCTTCTCTTTGTAGAAACATTGTTTGATCCTTCATCCAGTCCTTTTGTCTGGCCCCCCCTTTCTCCTTAAATCTGTCAATAAAGATATAAATACTGAGACAAAATCATGCCAAGACCCATGACCAATGTGCTAATGCGCACGCAAACTTTCTCGAGAAAAGCTTTGGATAAGGACCAAATGGCACGGATGAGACGCAAACATGGTATTAACAGAATCACACAAGCAGTAGAAAATTATCTGATTTGCCATATGTGACGTGTCTGTCCATGCCAAGCAATACAGTGATGGACAAAAACAACTGGCCTCGAATCAGAGCTGCGGCCTAACTCACACTCAGACTGGCACAACAGCTCAGTGACATCTGAAGTGGAGAGCTCTGAAAAATATGGCATCAAAGTCTGAATATATGCAAAGAAATTAGGGTATTCGGAATAAAAGTAATATGTAGGAAATTAAAAGGCTTAATATTCTATGCATGAAAGCCATTGGTGAGATGATGAAGTTGACAAAGGAAACCTGTATTATTATTATTATACTGGGATTTTCTTAACAGTTACAGGTAGCATTTCATTTTCCAACATTTTCTATTTACTCAATCAATCAAAAATTATTTATATAGCACTTTACAACACCAGGAAGACCAAAGTACGTCACAGAAACAAAAAAATAAGGTAAACATTTACTGAATGATTGATTTATTTAACTTTACTTTAGATGACTATTTTGTTACTTCAACTTGAAATGAACTATATTGTAAAACTACCTAGTTATTAGAGATTTTGGTAACGTTACAATCTCTAATTTGTTTTAATAAACCATTTAATAGGAAGTCATAACTAATAAATTTGTATTCTCTTTTTCACCTCACCTCCCACTGGTATTTTGTCTAACCCTTAGTATTAAGCGATGTTGTGTCCATGTGTCTGAGGGCAGTCACTATATTTAAAAAAATGAATTATCAAGATTCAGACAATATAGCATTTTTTGTTTTGAACATTAACATGTTTAACATGGCTATTATTAGCCAAAGAACACTCTCTGTTTGTCTTCTCCGGAAAGTCTACTTGTAAAGCATTTTTCTTTTGCTTTTAAAGTAGCCTTAATGAACCACATATATATCTAGACACGCTGAAGTATCTGTTTCCCTTTTAAATAGCATCAGAAATCTCTGAAATAAATTTTCTCTGATTAATTTTCAAATACCTTAATGATGTCAGCAATTACCCATCTGAGTGATATTTCCACAATAATAACTTCCAAGTAAAAAGTTGTCATTTATAACCTGTACCCTTTATGTATGCTCTATTTAACGATTACTTTAACCCAGTTTTTCATCATCTTTTCCACAAAAGTCATGTTTAAATTATTTAATCTCGAAAGAAGTTGGACTTATAATACTAACTGGACTTTGGAACTTGCCATATGGCTACTGTACTGTTGTGTTGTCATGCAGAGGAGTGAGAAAAGGAGGAAACATCCATGTAACAGCACTCACAGTCAGCATCAGCGAGGAAGAGGAAGCTGAGGAGAAACAGGCCTGGACTGACAGGGAGCATCGTGGGATAGGTCGACACATGCATGCTGCATTCACCGTGAGCTCAGAGCCTCACTGAACAACAGGATGATAGAAACAAGCCTTTATAACCTAAGGAGAAAAAAGAGAGAGAAACAAGAAAAACATTAGAGAAAATTCAAATGAGGAAACCTTCAGTTATATATTTATGCATATGTGTGTCTTTAGCGATATACAAGGTGTAAATATAAGATATATATAATAACATCCACATCACACTCGGACTAACAGAGAGTGTGTGAGTCCCCTCCAGGCCTCACACTTCCTGTCTGCAGCTGTCTTTCCTCTCCCCGCTTCATTAGGACCATACACTCATCGCCAGAGGTGTATTTCATATGCGTGAGGGTGTTTGTGTGAAACCTCAAATAAAGTAGCTGATGAATTCGAAGTCATGGCAAACATGTTATGGCGAAACATTATGTTGCCTCTAAAATAGAGTTTTCAACTAGGAATTAAGGAGTGGCTTCAATGTTCTTTCTTTTTTTTGGGGTGGGGATGCAGGCTGCACTTCCATGTCAGATTTTTCCCAAATGTCCATCAGAACAGCGTGAGTTAGGTTTGTTGAAAGGACTGGATGACTCTAAGATGGAGGGGTGGAAGGACGGACCCAGAGGTTGATGGATGATGGGGAGATTAAAGTGGGAAGAGAATGGCTACGGTTATCTGCTGAGTGTTGGATCAACATTTACATCACCGCCTTTATTCTTTCATCCTTTATTTGCTTCCTTCCTTGTACTGCCTTTTTTATGGAGCTATTCTTCCTCAGCTTCTTATACTCTCTTTTTCAAACAATTCCCACAGTTGCTTTTTATATTTGTACAATACTTCAGTCAGCTTGATGTTGTATTAAAGTGCTTTAGAAATGAATGCGGAATGGTAAGGTGTAATGTTTCAATCTCATTTTCGACTTTCTCCATTTGTGTGCCCTTGCATATCGTTGTCGATTAAGCACTAAGAAAATAAAGTATATACTCCTTACAAATGTCTTCCCTTTAATTTACCCATTTGTTTTGGTCACTCCGAAATGTTTCAGATCTTTAAACGAATTTGAATTTCAGACAAAGACAAAAAACAAAATGCAGTTTTCAAGTCATGATCTCATTTGCGGCCAAAAGAAAAAAGCAATCAGAACCAACATGGTCCCCCACCCTAGGAATAATAAATATGCCTGACCTAAATGATGGGAATAAATTCTCGATGTTCTGCCAGAGAGCAGATTTCATGGTTTGATAAATAACAGCAAGCCGTCCAGGTGCTGAAGTAGCAGGGCAGCCCCAGATCATTGCAATAAAACCAGCATGTTTAACATGATAATCTTTTTATGCTATCACAGTTTAATACCAGATGTGACAAGAAGCTTTTAGGGTGGAAAAAAACGTATTTTTGAAAAGGGGTGGGTGGGGATGTGTTGGGAGTGAATACCTGCAGTGAGATGAATACTGATTTAAGAGGTCAACAAAGCACTCAGCTGGCATTGTGTATGATATAATGTGATCTCAATTGATAGGTGCCGACTCTGACGCAAGCTCTGAGCCTCATATAATAGAATTGTTGACGTCAACATTTATCTGTGGAACAGCAGAACTGACCAGCTGGGATCAAGATTAGCCTGGGGCAGTAATGTTTCATCTTTAAGAAGGGAATGAGGTCTGACCCAGACTTCACCCCTCACCTCCCTTATGACCTATCAATCTGATCCACAAGTCCAATTCACCTCTCTGTATACAATCATTGCAATTCTGTCAGTCTTCATCCGTTCTATATGCCTTTCATGCACTGCATGGTCAATGCTTCCTTCTCTTAGGAAAGCCACAAACGCTTTAGTCTGTGTGATGCAATGAGCGCAAAGGGGGTCCTTGTAGTTTTTGTTTTTTTACATCGACAACAGTGCAGGGATTTTAAACTAAATTTCGGTGAACTTAGCATTGATTTGTTGTAAGATCAAGCCTCACTATGTGGCAGCTTTTAGGTCCAAAGTCATAGTTAGAAGATTTTTTTTTTTGCATTTGTGTCGACAATTTTTAAAAATATTTTTACTAAAACAAAGGTAGATGGAGAGCCATTTCCTATTTAATCTATCAATGTCGATTCATTACAGACTTCTATACTGTAAGGACAATGCAGATGAAACTCAATAGATAACACCATAATATTCCTCAGAGAACACACAGATGTATGCAGTACTTAAACACTCTTCCATTGCACAAACCACCAAGGTACGCTGTTCTAGTGCTTTACATAGAATAAATGTTCAACTCAATTCAATTCAATTAATTCTATTTACATGTGCCAATTCCCACCTCAAACCACAATAACATTAAATAAGTAAAATTAGGCACTAATAAAAAAAAATATTTAGTTTTTTGTTGGGAAGTCACCCTTTTTCAAAGACATTCCTCCATTTTTGTCCATTTAGATAAGCATAAATTGCTTTAAATTCTGATTTTATTCTCTTTATTCACTGATGTCATTTTAACCCATCTTGTTTGTGCTGTTGGATCATGAACTCTGACCTGAACTGAGGTAAGGGAGCCCCGCAGGTCTACTTCATGTTGTCTGACAGTTGAGAATTTTATAATCCTTAATGTGTTGCACTCAACTTTTCCAAAGATTTTGTCAGTTCCATTTAGCTCCCAATTAAAAGAAAGGGTATACATTTTCATATTCTTTAAAAAATTTAATTATTAAAAACACATTTTATATAAGTTATGTTTGTGTTTTATATTAGCATTTTTTATGATCTGAAAAATGTAAGTATGTAGCAAAGGACATAAAAACGGGAACAAATTGTAAGAGCAAAAGTTTATCCCATACTGAAAATACAAGTTTTTTTGTATGAAGTTTCTTAAATCATATCACCCAAATAGAACAGGCAGATTGCTGCCGCTGTCCAGAAAAGGGAACCATGGAAAATGCATTTTGCTCTTTCCATACTCACATCTTATGAACGGCTGAACTGTGCAGCACCCATGTAATAGAGTACGCCTATATGTTTGCATGATCTCCAAAACTGAACAGATTCAGCATCCGCAGTCTTAATCCGCCCCGCTCCTGAACAAGCCATCTGATTAAAAAAAGAGGAAGGGGTAGGGGCCCCAGAGCTCTTAGTCTGCCTCCAATGAAGGCAGAAAACAAATCAACCCACACTGGATTTTCCGCTTGGTTTAGTCCAAAACAATTGCTTTGGGATAACTTAGATCTCTCCCTGCACAAATTAAGTACCCTGCACTGATTTACACTGCTGCAGTAGGGAGGGGAACTATGCCTTACTGTATAAATTGATTTTTACTTTCATCCAAAACAATTTGAATAAAAAATGAGTAATTAAAAAAATTAATGACCTATGATCATATTGTTTTATAGTAATTTATAATACAAGAAATGCACCAATCAGGTGACCCATCATTATTTTCTTTGATGAAATCTGACCAAAGCCAGGCAGGAATAATAAAACAAACTAGATATCTCATCCTGTTAGCAAATGCATTAAGACAGAAATAAGGCACTGATCTAATCACTGAACATCTTACCAAGCAGCACTCATACATTTCTGTTTAAGTAAATGAAAAAAAGGTGTGTAAGAGAAATCTGCTTTAACTTGCCTTTATCAGAGTGACTCAAGCCTACGTCTATCACCTTTTTTTCACTTTTTTTTCAAACAAATGAGCTTTCAGTGTTATAGTTCAGCAAGTGAAAAGAAAAATAAAAGGTCTTATTGCTGCATTTCCAGCATACTTTATTTATAAACATGTTAAACTAAACAAAAAATGTTATAAAGTTGCATAAAATAAAATACCTACATTTGATTTTTAATAGTTTCATATTCCCTCCATAATAAGTTTTCTACAGATAATTTGCTGCTTTGGTCTTGAACAAATGGTCAGTGAAACTGTCAGATTAGCATGTCCCATCAGACTAGCATACCCACTGTCAATATGCATGCGCAAGATGTCAGATTTACATACGTCTGACACTTCAAGTGGAAGGAAGTCGACTAGGCTACTTTATTTATGCGTGATATTATAAACAAAAAGTTGCAGTTGAATGTAAAAACACAAGCTTACCAGAAAAGCATACTGGAAGTCAAGTAGGCTAGTTCATTTATGCTTGATGTAATAAAACAAAAACTTTTATTCCAAGGTAAACAGAATATAAAGCTAAACTGCTTTAAACACAGACAGCCTTGCTTTCTTTGTTCCCTACTTCACACCCTGACCTACAAGCTAACCTGTCAGATTGTCATACAATGGTTAAGTGTATGCTAAACTTGCCAGGCTGATCTGTAAATGTTACAGCAGTTGTTTAAATGTTCCTCTCTGCATGTGCACGCATGCATGCTGTATTACTTTGGGTATGCTTATCTGATGGGGTATGCTGATCTGACAGAACACGGGCATAAAAAGTCATGAAATCTGTAGTTTGGCAGACTGTTTTTAGGTGCAGGTAGGTTTACACTGTTTAATATCTAACCACTATGGGAGTTAGCTGGTGTCTTCAGCTAAAGTTAGACCTGAAGAAAACACAGCTGGCAGCACAAATTTAAAAGGATGATCAGTTTTGAAATGAAATGACAAAACGATCTACCAAAATTCAACATTGCCTTCGCAGAACATGTAGTGGAAAAACCTTAAAGCTCTGAGAAAGCAGCAGAAGAGAGTTCCACAAAGAAACAAATGCAGGTGTTCCTTTTTAAAGATTTAATTTTACGGGTGTCAAACTGACAAAATACATTTTCCTCAGCTCAGCCAGACCATGAAACTGCCACATCCCACAAATGGCTAATTTCTAAAGAAACAAAAACTAGTTGAACCTAAAATCTGCTGATCTTAGTCTCACTAGGTGGTAATAAATTACCCCCCCCCCAAAAAAAAAAACGTAGGTGCTGACCCACAAGAAGGTTCCTAACAAGTTCATTACCTAATAGGAAAGATCTCTAATGCAGAAAAAACCAGGAAGCATATTGTATAATATTATCTTCTTCATGGTTTTTCTTAGGGTAACACTGGTACTCTATACTCACATGTAATCACATTCTTCAAAATATTTTTTAATACCCCAAAGGAAAAATATGA